ATGGATGGACATTGTGAAAATGGTAAAATCAATAGAATCCTGCTGGAATTAAGCAGTGGTGTCCCTACTTTGTAGGCTTCTTGTTCAACCTAACATCTATCCTGCTCAGTAAAGCCAGTAGTTTTTTTGGGGAAGGGAGGCAAGTCTGTGGGAACACAGGAGCATGAGTTACAGGTCAAGATAATTTGCTTAGAGAAAGAAGACTGTTAAGTAAAGACAATTTATGAAACGGGGAAAGCAGCAAAGCTGATTAACGGGGGTGAGGAAAACAATTAGACTGAAATGCCGCAGTTCACATTCTGTAACTTTGAAAGTAAAATTCTTTCTGCACAAAGAATGGAAGTCAATTGGACTGTAACAGTCCCTGTATTTGCTGATGCTTCCAAGAGAAATCTTTGGAACACTTTAGAGACACAATGCAATATTGTTACAAGCCAGAATATCATGGACTATGTTAACAGAATCCTGTTGTTTATTCTTAGGAAATTTATATTGACTGTATTAATCATGCTACGTTGAACAAAACTAAAAAGCAAGCATATTCTAGAAACTCCTTTTTTCCTCTCAACTCATTTATGAGAAAGGTAGTTCTTTGTAACTAATTTCATATAGACTTAGTTGGGTTTCTAGAAAGGATATCATTTCCTATCTGATTGTTAACTGGGTTCAAATAAAAACATAAGACAAATGTAACTCAGCAAGTTTAAATATTATCACCATCTTTTTTTATTTGTAGTATTAAGAGTTGCTCTCATAATTCTTTCACAATTGTAACAGGAGTTTTTAAGAGTTTGCAAGCTGTTTATAAACCTTGGAATCTAGATTCCCCTCCATTCCAACATAACCCTTGTCAATATCTGATAATTTTTCTAAAACACACTTTTAACTTCCTTTCCCCCCTTATATGTCATGAAGAACATTCATTTATGCAGAAATGAATAAGATTGCAGCAGTTGTTTAATCTGAAATTTGGTGTGCAGTTATTTCTCATTTTTCATGACCTGATAATTTCAGCGGGATTATCTGTAGTTTTTTTTAAGATTACACTTGCGCCATCAGTGGTAGTATCTAATTACCATGTCTTTTGTCAGCCTCTTTTCAATTGCTTCCAATTTTTGTCTCCAATTGGGTGCATTTAAGCTTCATTATCAGCAGTCCCAGCAAGCAGTTTTGCTTTACTTGTAGCTTTACTTCACTGAGTGATTTGTTGTTCCTGCACTCCAAGATATTATCAACAAATTTCTCCAGCAGAACTCTAAAGCATCCATTTTTCTTTGTTCAGCCTTTCTGATGGTCCAGCTTTCTCTGTCGCATATTTTTTAACTTAAGAAAACCAGAGATTTGATAATACATATCTTTGTTTTCTGTATTATTTGCCTACTCTTTGGCATTTTGTCCAAATTTGCCACGGTCCTTTTCCAAGCAGCAGACATCTCTTTGTTTCATGACTAGAGTGAATTTTGAATTTTGGAAAATAAAAACTGTTACTACTTTAGCTTCACCCACTTGCATTGGGCTGTCATTGCCTCTTGACATAAACTTAATGGATTTTGTTTTTTTGTTTTCAAATGAACAACAGAGAAGCATTTTTTTTTTTCAATTGCCACAAGAAATTCCTTAAGTTTGTATTACTTCTAGCATTATCACCAGCATATCTGACTGTATAGTTTGCGTATAACTTAAATAAATAAGATGACAGTTTACAGCTTTTGTCCTATTCCGTTTCTAAATTATAACTATTTCATTGTGCCATATACCCCTTAAGGGTTATCCATATACTCTGGGTGGCAGTCTTAGGCATATTTACTATCCTCTTAATTTAATTCACATGGAAGACATGCAAAGGTAAGTGCTTTTAAATACTATGATTCAATTTTATCTGTGTCGTGTGTATTGTATTATTGTTCGGATCATAAATTTCCTAGTTTTGCTTAAAGCTGACTCTTAAGAAGAGAGAGAGCCAATGATTAGCATTTTTATTATTTATTTTTTGTATAAGACCCAAATACTTCTTATGATTATCATTATTCTGTTGTTTTGCATGTACACTGAGAGCTTCTGCACCGGAGACAAATTCCTTGTGTGTCTAGTCAGGCATACTTTATTGGCCAAATAAAGTATTCTATTCTGTTCTGTTCTTATTTTTATTCCATTCCATTCCATTCCTATTTCATTCCATTCTATTCTCCACATTCCAGTCTGTTCTTTCTACTTGCTTTGCTTTACTTTGAATAAAAAAAAAACTGGCATTGTAGGAATGCATGCTTAGCACTATTAGTGCCTCCTACCCGCCCAATACAAATCTCTATTTTTCTTGCAAGGATAAAAAACATAATAATCCTGCTTTCAATGTAATTTGCCTTTTTTCCCTTCGAGCCATCAATACATGCTGTCCTAACATGCCATTTTTCAATTGTGTTAAGCCTGTTGCCTGATAAAGCAAGCTGTACTGAAAATCCTTATCGCAGGATTCCCACATTAGTATTTGGGCCTTATACAAAAAATAAATATGCCCTGACTCAGAAAGGGATCATATAGGACTGAAAGAAACTCCAAAGAGATGCAAATAAATAGAAGAAGTGTGATTCATCTCCCTATTTTTGCAGCAGGATTGCATACAAGAATTTCTCTTTCAAGAGTGTAATTCTTCCAATCCTTTTGATCTGAAGTCTGAATATGAGATATTCTCCCATTTGCAACTTTCGACAACTCCGCGGCTCAGTGTGGTTATTACTTTTCAAGGAGGAGCTTTCTGGTGCAGTCACAAACAACAGCCATTATTTTAATATTGCTGAAAAATGGAATAGAATAGTGAATAACAATTGAAAATTATCAGGGACCATGTAACAGTCATGTTTTCTAGATAGGTCATAGGCCGGGCCTTTTTGACTTTCAACAATACAATACTTTGTATGTAATGATCGAATAGCTAACATTCTCCCAATGAGGGTAATCCCAACGTCTGGAGCTCAAGCCCTAAAGGACACCTGCTCAAGAAATGTGGATAATCACTGCAGTCTGGATTTAATTATTTGTACATCAGATTTCATGAAATGTGTAAATTAAATGGTGCAAGAAACCCTTTCAATGTGCAACCTATTTTCACTTTAATGTATGACAATTTGGGGTTACCTATTCTTTGAGATGAGCTATTGGTGGTGTTAGTAAAATTGTGCAGTTTCTTATCAATTCATAATATTTTATTCAATAAAGAATAAAGAACAGATGTAATTGTGAGAAATATTTCCACCATAATAAAAAGAAGGAAATGACTGAGTTGTTTTTCCTCTCACAACTCAATCAATGTTTCGCTTGGGAATTTATTCTTTTTTATATAGCTTGAAAACACAAGCACCACAACACATTTTTTTATAAATTCTCAAACTGATAAAACTCACATCCCTCCAAATCCCTCTTCCTGTATATTTGCCCCCCATGCATAACACCTTAAAATGAATCCAGCTTTTGATGACAACTCTTATCAAAACATGGAATAATTTTACTATGTGAAGTAATAGTGTACGGAAGTGTGCAAGTGGCCAATTAATTGTTGACAGCTTGAAGAAGTTACTTGACTTCAATGATCTGTCATGTGCAAGGTCAAATAACACTGAATGAAATGCTTTTTATTCACAAGCTAGTAACAAATGAAGGAACATAACGAGTGAGGATCCATTTACAGAACTATTTAGGGCTATCCAAAATCATTTGCTAGATCTGTATAGAGCCAAGGCATCTTAAAGAAACCAGCATATTTTAACATTATGTCAGGACCAACATTACATCCATGTAATTCATTGCACTTCAGAACAGAAGGTCTGTTTCCTACTCCATAAAATGTAACAGGATGTTCATGTATGGTCACAGCCTTCTTTCCAATTGGCCTGCTCTCGCTCCACATCCCTAAACCAATATATACAAATGACTGGATTTTGCCATTTTCATCAGTCAGCCTTGGCTGGTTCCACTGCAATCCAATCCTCGCCTTCCACGTCAGCCTCAAATAATTGCATTTAATCCTGCTTCTATCTACATCTACTTGGAGATAAAGTCCAGTGAAATGAATAGATTTCTATGTAAATACTCCTCATCCATCTAATCCAAACATTTCTTAATATAGTTTTGAAGGATTTAAGTAGCTCAGAAGGTGTGTGGGAGACCGCATTCTAAGATGCTTCTGAGATTCAGATTTGCTCAAATTATTTTTGGATCAAATGGAATTAGGGCTGCCAGGTTATTTTTTAGCAATACCAAAGGACCAAAAATAGTCAGCTAAGGAAAGTCTCCTTATAACTAACTCTTAATTGTACACCTAATGTCACATATTATAGCTGTAACCATCACTCTCAGCTGGAGCTCCCCATCAAGATGTGCTTGCTCTCAAAATGGGTTGATGCTGGAACACTGCCTAAAAATACAAAATTAAAAAAAACCCACAGAACTTCCAGATCAAATGTTAATTACATGCCAAATAGAATTCTCCTATAGTTCAAAGAGAAAATATATAAACAAGAAGCTGGGCATTAAACCAGCAGCAATATAAATCCTCAGTTTTTGAGCGATTATGAAAGATAAATAACCGTATCATTGTGAAATAGAAAAATACTGGATTGCATTAAAAACTTCCACTAACTGTTAAATGTCACTATGAAAACCCAGTGGCAATGTGCCTTAAAAACATAATGAATCACACATCTCCTGAATTATGCTCATTAATATCAAAGGTGTTGTCTTCTTTCCTTTTTAACAAATCACATATACATATGCACTAGATAGAAGTGAAAATATTTGCTTAATCAAATACTGAATACCAAGCATCTTTTTTTTTGGTATTCTTTCATAACCACTTCCTGAATATTGTAGCAGGGTTTCTTTTTTTTAAAAATCCACAAACCCTGTTAACCTTCCTTCTTTCAGCTTGGCTTGCCGCAATATGATGTTCAATCCTCAGAAACCTGATACAGTCGGTGATTGTGATTGCAGCCTTGTGCATTCATTCCTCAGAATACTAGTTTAATCTTTGCATGATTGACGGGAAGTGCTTCTGGTTTCCAGTCTGGCTGAAAAAAGTGAATATTGAAAGTCCGGGCCCAATTCTCAAAGACTCGTTTCTCTGTGATAAAGCGATGATGACTTCCCTTCCTTCCCCGTTCATGTGAAATGTACATTGTACATTCATCGGGTCCCATTGGTTCATAATAATGATAAGGTACTGAAGGATGATTAGAATCCCTGTAGAAAAAAAGAGCAAATAGTTGGACGTGACTGAAAAATAAGACTGTCTTCAATAAGCCAAAGGGTTCAAAAAGTCCCTTTTCCCCATCCACCTTATCACCCAGAAGGCCAATACTGTAAACATTTAAATATTTTATCTGCACTAATTAAACTATAACCACTCCAGAATCAAATGGCTGACTACACTGAAGTGTGCTATGTATATAAACTGCATGTACACGAGGAGAGAAAACCTGAGATACATTCAGAGAGATGAGCAGCTTGGGAAGTAGTGATCCGGCCGACACAGCAACCAGGACAGAAGCAACCAATGTTTAGAACCATCAATGTGGTTCTAATGTTGTGTGGTTTTGTTTTAAACTGCTGCTATGATCCTAAGTGATTTGCAAGGACAATTTAATTTTATTTAACAACCACAAGAGATTGCAAGGTTGGAAAACTTGTAACCCCACCCAAATAGATTATTCTCCAGGATATGAATTATATACTGTATATAGAAACTTCATCCTCAACCCTATTTTTAGTAAGGAATTCCTATAGGTTTTTTAAAATTAATTGTAACATCTCAGATGGGATCTACATGTAATTTCCCCAAAACCGTGAAAATCCTAAGTGCCCTCCATGATCACTATTCTTATTTCTTCTCTCTAAGTCTACACCTTTGATACAGTGGTCCCTTTTACTAAAATGAGTCCAATTCAATAAAAGGCAAAGCAAAAATCAATCTGGCAGTATAAAAGGCTGACGAAGGATCTTAGTTTAAGAGTAATTGTGCCTGTATCTCATAGCATACGGCAGTCACATAGAAACTAAAGCATACGAAGTTAAATGCACAATCCCTTTAATTCTGCAGATATCATTTATGCATCTCTGACAGGAAGGAATATACGTAGTTTCCCTGGAGTACTTCCTCTAAATTTTATAATGTCTGAGAAACACCTTAATGTTATAAGCTTCATATAACTAGTTATAATGCTATCACATATCTATAAATATGAAGGCAGATCTTCTCAAGTAGGAAATTTTTAGATAAGGGGTATCCAACCTTGGCAACCTTAAGACCTGTGGACTTCAATTCCCCCAAATGGGGAATTCTGGGAATTGAAGTCCACAGGTCTTAAAGTTGCCAAGGTTGGACACCCCTGCCTTAGATGGATGAATTACAATGCTAGTGGCTTCTGGCATAATTAACAAACCAAACCTACATGCCATCTTCTAAATATTACAAGAAGAAATGTCACAGCTACATGCTTTTTTTGCCCACACATTAATCCTTATAATATCTGTTATAAAGCACAATGTGATAATTCATCGTGGCTTCCCTTTCCCCATTGATAACGGTTAGTTTTTCCATGGTGGAAAACAATGCATGTGGCATCAAGATCACATAATGAATTTCCCATTGAAGTAGACATTCAAAGGAAGAAAAGACAGCACTGTGTGAACTGATAAGCCTTTTAATGTCTGAGTGTGGTGACTGGTGGAAAGGAACAAACATTTCTCCTTCATACCTAGATTATCCATTCTTTAAGTAAAAAACTGTGCAGCCATTCCCCTTCAATGTACCCAAATGCTACACAGAAACAATATTCAGCTAGGAAAATGCTGTAATCAATACAGCTCTTATTAACCTAAAGCAGTGATGGCGAACCTTTTAGAGACCGAGTGCCCAAATTGCAACCCAAAACCTACTTATTTCTCGCCGGGTGCCGGGTGGGCGTGGCCCACTGGGTGGACATGGTGGGGTGGTCGTGGCAGATTGGGTGGGTGTGGCCAACGTGGGCCTGATCACCTCTATGTTGCTCCTGTGGGGGCTGGGCAGGGTTGGGGGAGATCCAGGGGGTCTCTGGCAGGTGGGGCAGTGGGCAGGAGGTTCGTGCTGCGGGGTAAGGCGAGGCAGGGCAGGGGTGCCATCGTCGCAGGGCAAGGTGAGGCAGGGGCCGGGGTGGCTGCTGCTTGAAACCATCGGCCCCGCACACAGTGAGCTCATGGGTGTTGGATACATCCGGCCATGTGGGAACTCGGCAAGTTAGCGGGCAGCTGGTTGAAGAGGGATGGTTGCCATCTCCAGGGCATGGCGTGTGTGCCCACAGAGAGGGTTCTGAGTGCCGCCTCTGGCACGCGTGCCATAGGTTCGCCACCACTGACCTAAAGGAACCCACCCTTGTTCAACTTCAAGAGGATGAGAACATCTACACTGGTATCTTGTATCTTTGGGGCCAGATGTTAATTCCAATCCTAAGGATCATCAAAAAGAATTGGGATAAGTTTAGAGTTTCATCTTTCTGGTTTGAATAGGTAAAAGGTAAAAGAGTCCCTGCGGATTTTACTCTGCTAGTCGTTGCTGACTACAGATGGCAATGCTCATCTCTGTTTCAAGGCCATTGAGCCAAGCGCTATCCAAAGACATTTCCATGGTCATGTGGCCAGCATGATGTCATCGAGCCCTGTTACCTTCCCACCGAAGTGGTACTTATTTATCTACTTGCATTTGCATGCTTTGAAACTGCTAGGTTGGCAAGAGCTGAGGCAGGAATGGGAAGGTCACCCCATCATGTGGCGCTCGGGTCTCAAACCTGGGCTGCCAGCTTTCCAGCCAACAAGCCCAGCATCTTAACCACTGAACCACCACGCTGCCCTCTGGTTTGAATAACCCAGACTAAAATTGTATGCTAAATGCCCACTCAGCAATTATATTTTTATGCTAGCAGAATGAACTTTTTGAGAACGCTGAAAGGTTTCCCCATCCTTGTTTATTAATACTAAAGCTACTACTAGTCTATAAAGGTGTTTATTTTATTACTTTATGATATTAGACATTAATCAGTACTTTGTCAGAATTAACATGCTTATCAATATAACAGTAGGAATGCATTTACAGGTGTAACTACTGTACGTAAAAACATTAGTTTTCTGAAACAGCACTGTGTAATCGTCTGTATTCTATATATACTACAATATTTGTTTTGGGTAAAATGAAAAGATATTCAAATGCTTTATGATGCTTCTATTTAATGGAAAATCAGCCCACTGAGAAGAACTTTAAGCTCAAAGTTTAATGCTATTAGTACAAGCATAAACAGTCTATAGGCATTTTCAAGAAAGAAGCAGGCAAATTCTAACAGGTAAAGAGATGGAATGATAACATAAATCCATTCCTCTCATATTATATCTTGACAACCAGGGGACATCATGATAGGATTTGGATATTACTACATACTGCTACACTGCAGTGCAGCCCAACTGTTTTCTTGTCTGAGCTGTCAGAAATGGCATTAGTTTTAACTTTTGTGACAAATTCATTTAAAAAGAATCTCATAGTGTAATAGCTAGTGCAGGTTTTGCTAAGCAGAATGGAAATTAATCTCTGGGAAGAGGAATCCAAAACAGCTCTATTGTTCCACTAATGTGTACACAGACTGGATTCTCTCCAAGTCATGGTTCCTCTTAAAATGTTCTACTTTCAAAAACCAGATAACACTGCAAGATTCCTGAATGATATATGGACTTCATCTATTAAGAATTGGTAATCTTTCAAAGACATGGTTGATCTATGGAATGAAAATATGACCAAGGCAGTCGTCATGCTTGTCTCTAGGAGATGAAAATTTTTCAGACAACCATCTGAAGCACACCTCCAAATCAACCATGAACCTTGAACAAGAAAGATGAGGGTTTTTCAAATGGATTGAATAAATGTTAAGAGATCTCAAACATGCAGTCCAATCAAGAAGACCCAATAATACTGTGCCAAAAGAACTGGGGGGGGGGGGAAGCAAGAATAGACAGACTCTTAAGAAAGGTTGTGAGCTATTATTTATCATAAAGGATGCCCATCAAGTTATGACGGCAAACAGGGCTCGAATTTCCATAGCTAAGTGATGTGGTCTTAAACCATACTCACATATACACAGATCGTAGATAATAAATGCAACAAGCCATTAATGGCATGTGTTTGTACATATGCTCATACAATCTTGATTTTCAAGTTTTTCAAATAGTTTTTCTCCAGAAATTAATTTCATGTATTCTATAGCATTATGTTTATCTAATAAATATTTAAAAGACTAAGGGAAACTAACAAGATGAGTAACTCCTCACAGTACAAATATATTAAATATAATTAAATGCTGCTGTTGTTTTTAAAACTCAATCACAGCACATGCTAATTAGGAGTTCCAGGAACATCCTACATCTGTGTTTTGAGTAGTATAAAGACATTTATGTGTAAATACATAATCCATAAGACTGAATTTTGCAACCTAATAAAAAATGCAGATGAATTAGTTACCTGCAGAAATCTGGTGGCACCATTCCATAGACGTCTATTTTGTCACACAGCTCTAATGCAATACTCATTGTAAACCATCCAGTGCTTAACCAAGTGTTGGATATCTTCCTGAAAACAGAAACAATTAAGTTCCCCAAGTGACAAATAACACTTGAGATAACTTCATGTTAGGATTTTTTTAAAGTTACCTATTAAAATTCATAGAAAAGTTGTACACATGGGCAGTCAACGTTCAAAGTACTCCTACACCATGTAATAGGTTTAACTATATCCTTCTGGTTGTGAACAAATGTATTTAGTAATTGCATTTTTCATTCTAACATTGCAGATATTAGTGGTATTATGTAGCTGGGCAGTTACCTGAATAAGATTTGAGTGTAAACTGTGGGTTTGCATTAGTCCTACTAATTAAATTGGAAAGAAAGAAAGCTCTATCTGGTTAATAGAAGAATTGGCAGGCAAATATACATTTTATGTCACCGCAAAATAAGTCTGTATTTTTGAATTGTCATGTTGGGAAACCTTCAGAATTTTTTAAATAGTTGTTTTTCATTTAAGCTTGGCTCCTGGTGGTTTACATACACTGTAAAAATCCAGGCAGTTTACTTGTCACAAGTGCCGCCTTTCAGGATAGCTTTTCCCACAGGTTCTGGGACCAGAATATTGATGGAGCTTATATGGGGTGGTTGGTGGATAAATATGACTTTCATTGAGGCATTATCTATTGTTTTAAATATTCTTTATTTTACTATACTGTATTTTTATTCTGTTTACCACCCAGAGTTCTTCTTGACAAATGAATGATACTTCTTTAATAAATAAATAATAATATGTCATCTCATGTACGATTAGGAGTGCAGGATTCCACTGATGATTAATTCTGTTTTTTGTGGTTGTTCTTTGCAGATAATTTTTTCGTAGCAGAAATCCAGTCAACTGTAGCTCCTGTTTTCCTGAAGCTGATATAGAATTCTCCAGGTATCAGTTTGAAAGCAAACAAGCAAAGTAAAATAGTGCTGTCATCACACATTACAGTAAATATACAGCCGAAGGCTTACCCAGAAAACAGAATGCTTATAAGGTACTTATGTTTTTCACATTATATAAGTACTTCCCTGGATCTCTTAAGTAATCAGAACTGTGTATTTCAGTTTATTACTGAGTGATATACTTTTATTTTAATAGCTCAACCTAACCTCTGGGTTATCCCCTAGTTATCCTCCTTTTATATAAGATTGTTTCTACACAGACATTAGCATGTCTGTGGCTGTCAGAGAATATACATAGCCGTGGAATGCCCTGTCTGTTTGTCTAACATCTAAGACAAAGCTGGTAAGAACTGGATTACTGGTTTCATACAGCTTCAACAGCTTGCTGGTCAATCTGACACATTCTATGGATAGCTGATAGAAGAAAGCAATCATTAAACATCTATTTTAATAAAGGAGGGTAGACTGGGAACGGAATTGATGGCTTTATATCTGCTAATTAGAAGATCGAGTATAAAAAGGGAAGTACAGATTTTGTTCACACTTGACTGTTCTTGCTCTGAAAGCCTTGATTCATGGCCCCTTTGAGACAATCATTCCATAACCCTGGTTAATAACTGGTCTTAAGGAACTGTCCTCCTTTTCTATAATAGAGAATGTCTGGTTTAATACAAACCATGATCTTTGCACCAAAATCTGAGTGGAAGGAGGAAGAAGAGACAGAAAGACATTTGGTACTGAGCAATTTGTTTCCAAGATTAAAACATGGCATAATCAAGAGGACTGGCTTAAGTATCATATGGTTCATTACTGAGTGGCTAATGAAGATTTTAGCCACTGAGAAGCTTTGAGGATTTTTTTTTTAAAAAAAATCTATGGATTTTAAAAACATGAGAAGGCTTTAAATGAAAGAGTTTTCCAAAGAATGTAACATGATAGGATGCAAAATACTTCTAGTGAAGATAATAGTACACTGAAACGGAAAAAGCATTTGTACTGAATTTATTCTTCTCTGAGTTCTTAATGTATACATAAATACGTGTGTGATACTTATTCTCTCATCATCTTTTCACTGTGTAAAAAAACATTTAATGAGTACATAAGTAATAAAAATAAATCCATTCTTTGTTGTTGGGAAGAAATTCATTTCTAATGTTGTTTGTAGCCATACAGAGGACCACTTATTAAACAAATTGATCCAAAGATCTGTTTGTGAGCCATAAATGGGCTCAATAAAGGGAGTTAACTCCCCTTTTTTCAGTTGGAAGTATAAGATGAGTACTTCAGAGGTATCTAATATATGAAAAGGAAAGCTTTATTGCTAAAATGTTTCAAGAATGCAATAACTAGATTTTATAATTCACCGAATGACAGCACTGACTCAATAAAGAAAAACCTACAAATTGTACTTTTTAAAAAACAGTGAATTCTTTTATTGAGGTATATTATCTAAAATAAGATTTAAATTCACCATCTACCTTCACATTGTGCTATTCTAGAATTCTATTTATCAACTGAGTTCACTATATATTTATTTAGGTATTTAAAGCTAAGGCAGAAATATGTTATTTGATTGCATCATTGTCTATATTGCAAAAATCGTTATTTGACACACAAAAATATTATAGGTTAATAAGTAGGAAAAAGATACTGTAGATTCTATAAAATCAGGTGTCTGGTGGCACGTTTTCCAAATATAGGTAGTCCTCGACTTACAACAGTTCATTTAGTGATCGTTCAAAGTTACAACAGCACCGAAAAAAGTGACTTATGAGCATTTTTCACACTTACGACCTTGGTAGCAGCTCCATGATCATGTGATCAAAATTCAGATACTTGGCAACTGGCTCATATTTATGACCGTTCACGTGATTACCTTTTGCAACCTTCTGATAAGCAAAATCAATGAGGAAACCAAATTCACTTAACAACCTTGTTACTAATTTATCAACTGCAGTGATTCGCTTAACAACTGTGGCAAGAAAGGTCGTAAAACTACTGTAGTTGTACGTCGAGGACTACCTAAAATGCATTTTATTAAAAGGCTATCTGCAGCTCACTCCATCAGATGCATAGGGTCACTAGAACAATGCAGGATTTAAAACAGGGGGAGAAAGTGAGGAAGACAGGTTGGTTATGCTGCTGCAGGCTACATGAGAGACAGATGACAAGTGCTTTATCAATTATCAACTGTAATATGTTTTATTGAGATCTTCCAAGATTGTCTGGAACCTTTTGATGTACAGTATATTGATGTGTGTTAATAACATACTACTTAATGGTGGAAATAATGTCCAATCTGTATACAAGTGTGGGCCTTCTGCCTTTAGCTTTTAAGATCACAGAAACATAATTGAACTTCACAAGGTGTCAGCTAAGCTCATAGATCATACACATTATTAATAAGTTATATCATTCCCCCTCCCAGTTCTGCTGTGCTGTTTTACAGTGTTATGTGGCTGGTCCTGAGAAAGATGAGTGAAGAGCGTCAAGAGTGTATGCCCACAATGTATATTCCCAGCAGGGTCACCAAAGATGTGAAGGTCATCCCAGTGCCCAGCTAAAGCAAGCAGGCATCCACACCGGGCAGCAGCAACACAGGAAAATACTGGATAGAGAGGATCACTGTAATGATAATGCTAAAGGCATCATCTCATACTCACTTGAGCATTTTGCCAAGAACGTCAGAAGAATAGAAAAATATAAAATGACAAATGATTGGCCCCCTCAGTTTGGATAGCAGTTAATAAAAACTTCTGAAGATGAACTAAGGAGCTTTCAGAATAGTAATGGTGTATATGATTTGGCTAGATTAAAACCTTTAGGATATCCAGTTACTGCCATCATGCAGGAAAGGAAAACTCAAAGTAAAGACAGAATTATGATAGGAACATGAAATGTAAGCACTAATATGGAAACGCACATCATAGTGAAAGACAAATTGACTACATGTTGACATCTTTGGCATCAGGGAATTAAGATGGGCTAGAATTGGTCTGGAATTGGATATTTTCAGTCAAAAAAATCACAGTCATATTCAAGACATGAAAAGAAAGAAGGAATAACATTACCTTCATAATTAGGAATGGTATATCAAGAATAGTATTTGCCTAAGTGCATCAGTGATGGGATATTATTATCTGTTAGATATTGTGGACAATGTATAATTATGTCAACCATCCAAATTTTGCTCAAATACCAACGCAGAAGATAAGCTTGACAAGTTTTATAATGAACTTCAATTTGAACATGCAAGCAAGATGTGGTTTGGAGACTAGAATGCCAACGCTGGAAATATTAGGAAGGAATAGGAAACCAAAATTAAGTATGAGAATCATTTACTAGTTTCTGTCAATCAAATGACTGGCATGCTAACACAATTAGCGTAAAAACTGATTGTTGGTGGAAGATTAAGACTATTAGAAGTAAAAGGAAGTAATATAATGTTGGTTTATTTGATCGAGGTTTAAATAAGATATGTTGTTATTTCTGATCATTGTTACTGGACTTTCTGATGACACCAGGATTGAAATGATGATGCTTTATGGATTTGTCTATTGATAATAGATGGGATATGGGCTGAAAGATCATTGATTGTAAACTAAGAGAGGGTGAACAGTTACAAAAATTATTTAGACTTGTGATGAAGGTTGGAAGTTACTTTTTTAAATCTTTTTTTTGATTTTTATCTACTATATTCTTACCTTTCTATTTTCTTTTTTTGCACCTTTCACTCTTTTTTACCTTTCTTTTAATTTAATTACTTTACTATTTTAATTGAAAGTCTTTAATTAAAAAAGTTATATTTTTAAAAAGGAACTAGTCAAACTACACATCGATACCAACCAAAGAAGACTTAGCAGCTTTTAATAAAATATGCTAATTGGGAAAAGTGCTACCAAATTTCTCATTATTATTTTTTTTGCCACCATAGACCAGGGGTAGGCAACCTTGGCTCTTTTATGACTCGTGGACTTCAACTCCCAGAATTCCTGAGCCAGCATGGCTGGCTCAGGAATTCTGGGGGTTGAAGTCCACGAGTCATAAAAGAGCCAAGGTTGCCTACCCCTGCCATAGACCAACACGGCTCTCCTCCTGCACTCTGCAAAGTGATTCAAACTGAGAGCATATGCTTCAAATAATTATTCTACCAAATACAGGAGTACTTTCATTATTTATTCTCGTACAATTGTTTTCATACCTGTCTTTCCCAGTTTCCTGTTTGAAGAGGTCATCAAAATGAAGCATTTTCTGTCGAGATATCATATATACTTTTAACTGAGGTAGTATTTGATTCATCAGTTGTAGATTATTATAAATTAATCCTTTTCCATCTCTTCTCATGTATGTACTTGGACCCCAGAAGATAAATACTGTCCCATGACTCATGTTTAATAGTTCATTGCGATTTCGCAAAATTCTCTGGATACTGGAATGAGCTATAACTCGCAAGGTTGTCTTGTTTCCAACATCTTTTCCAAATCCCCGGGTAGGTGCATCATTCATTCGTATTACACACTCTGTCTGATCGATCTTCTTCCCTTGATGGCTTCGCAAAAGGTGTCCAGAGCTTGTGACTAGAGCACAGCTTGTGCAATGCATTTTCAAAGGCTGTAGAGAAATAAATGTCTCAGTATACATCCAAATATATATCTAAATACGTATTCAAATTTTCCAGAATTGGGGAGAAAATACTCCCAGAATACCTGGTAAAAAAAGAACAAACTAAATCCAAGTGATGGGGTTCCAAATGTCATTATGAAAAGTTAATTCACTTCACCTATCTCTTCACCACAGTATCTCAGAAATCTATCAAGCCTTGCAAATTATTGCCAATTTGCATATATATATATATATTCTTTAGCTTGGGAAATATAAGAGAGCAGTTCCTGGCTTTCATGACTAAGGGGGGATTTGAACTCAAGACCACCACCACCCCGGTTCCTAGCTTGGTGCCTTATCCATGAGGCCAAATCGGCTACAATAGAAGTTCAAAAGTTTTTAAAACTGTGAAACATGGCAATCTGATCCAGATTCCCTACTTATAAAATCACCTAACTACTGTGACGTACTGTGAATTTCAGCAAGGTTGTTTATTTTTGCTTTTAAATAAAACTTGGTATCTGCAGAAATAATCTGTGGAGTGCTTTTATCTTCTTTCTCAATGAATTTATTCTATTCTATTTCACTTTCTTTTCCCCGGAGAACCAGCTCAAAAAAAAAAACAAAAAAAAAACCAAGGAGGGGGGGGGAAATACATAATTTCAGAAGATTTTCAGGACAGTTGAAGATCTGTTTCCCAGCCACTCACATTCCCTGCACAGAAAGGAAGGAGAGAGGCAGGAAGTGGAAGCTGCTTGGAATAAAGTTGTCAAATAAGCTATCACAGGGGAATGAAAGAGAAATGCTGTAGAAACAAGAAAGGAGACAAACTAGGTGGCTGGATGACGAAGCTTAGAGGCATGAGACAGTGAGAATAGATTTACTGGATTTCATAATATAAAAGTATGACTGCATATGTTTTGAAAATATATACTTTGAATGGGTGTCTGTAAAATTAGAAAATGGTTAAGGACGATGATGATCCAGAAGAAGGGAAACATTTGGAAATTGCATAAACCCATAAGGCAGATTTTGTTGGCTTCATTTGGCAATATAACAGAATAACAGAGTTGGAAGAGACCTTGGAGGTCTTCTAGTACAGAGGTCCCCAACCTTTTGGGCACCAGGGACCAGTTCCGTGGAGAGAGGTTTTTCCGCAGACGAGAGGATGCGTGGTTTTGTGTGCTACCAGCATCTCATGGATGGGGCTTTGTTTGCTTGTGTGCCCTCATTGTTGGCATGCCACGGTCCGGTACAAGTCCATGGACTGGGGGTTGGGGACCCGTTCTAGGCCAACCCCCTGCTCAGGCGGGAAACCCTATACCAGGGGTGTCAAACTCAATTTCATTTAGGGCTGCATCAGCATTGTGGTTGCCCTCGGGGGGGTGGGGGGGTGCGGCCAGGGTGAGCATGGCCAGCTCTACATCGTTCGTGTCAAGGGTGCCTGTGGGGGGCTGGGCAGAGTGGGACGGATCTGAGGGTCTCTGGCAGAAGGGGATGGGACCGGGGCAAGCGCCAAGGCATGGTCCATTTCTTCATTCCTCACAAAGGGTGAAACCTCCCCAGCATGCACCCAGGGGGCGGGGCCGACACAGCAGGGGCTGGTTCCTCGCTGTTTCTAAACAGCCTTGTGGAGCTAAGACTGAATGTGTTTCAGCATAGATGGCCACCACAAAATTGTACATTGGCTCCCGGACAGCCTGGGCCAGGGCCAAGGCAGCAGGGGCCGTTCCCTCACTGTTTCCAGGATGGCTTCGCGGGCCACATGAAACCACTTCACGGGCCGCATCTGGCCCCCGGGCCTTGTGTTTGACATTTGTGCCCTATACCATTTCAGACAAACGATTGTCCAATCTCTTCTTAAAAACTTCCAGTGTTGGAGGATTCACAACTTCTGGTGGCAGGTTGTTCCACTGATTAATTGTTCTAACTGTCAAAAAATTTCTCCTTAATTCTAGGTTGTTTCTCTCCTTGATTAATTTTTAACATCCCCATGATCATGTGATAAAAATTCAGATGCTTGGCAACTGATTCATATTTATGATGGCTGCAGTGTCCCAGATTCCCCTTTTGCGACCTTCTGACAAGCAAAGTCAATGGGGAAACCAGATTCCCTTAACATCCATGTTACTAACAATTGCAGCGATTCACAATTGTGACAAGAAAGGTCATAAAATGGGGCAAAATTCACTTAACAAATTTCTCGCTTAGCAACATAAATTTTGGGCTGAATTGTGGTCATGAGTCAAAGACTACCTGTATTGCAAATATAAGTTATAGGACATTTCAGAAAAAAAAATGCTTAGATATGATTTGGAAATCTGGTTTGCTTTTCTTTGCTTTGAAATGGATGTTTTGTTGAAATAAAAGTTGATATTTTGAATAATTTGCCTTTCTAAAAAGTGTTGGCTTGTTGTAATAATACATTCTGTGACCATTTACAGCTAATACTAGTAACTTTGTGACACTACTTTTACTTGTTTGTTTGTATACTTAAGTCTTCAAACAAAACAATTCCCTGAATGATCTTCTACTAATATTAAGACAATAGTTGTTACCAGGTTTACAAACTTTTCCAGCATTAAAAGCTCAAGAGCCCCAAAACATTGGAGATTCATGGTTTAGAAGCATGAAGGGTTGAATGAAAAGGAAGCATTGCATTAAAAAAAGATCAATGACAAAAGCATCTTCATCTTTCAGCAACTCTTTAAAGGAACCAATGTGTTGCCCTCACTGATTTAGCTTCCTTTGCTCTCAGCGGAGCTGTCATGTAGACCTAGATTAACCAGAATCAATTCTGATATTATCTTTTTTTTAAACTCCAAGATCCAACAGACAAAAAGTTTGTGTTTGTACAAAAGAAACATGCTAAGAATTTTAAAATAGTACTTCTCAGTACGTGCTCAGCATTTATAGTATCAGAATTTAACTGAGTAGTTTTTATGCTTATAACTGCATTTAGGATGGTAGGTAAATAGGTGGATAATATAGAAAGATAAATGTGTGTGTGTGTGAGACAGACAGACAGACAGAGACAGATAAGACAACTGAGATAGATAGATAGATAGATAGATAGATAGATAGATAGATAGATAGATAGATAGATAATGGATGATAGATGATTAGATAGATGATAGATGATTAGATGGATGATATAGATAGATGATATAGATGATATTGATAGATAGATGATAGACGATATAAATAAATATAGATAGATGATATAGATAGATAAATAGATAAATTCCAGTTCCATTGGCATCCTTCAGTCTCGAGAGACTATGGTATCGTGCTCTGGAAAGAGGTCCTAAGGCAACATCTGGTGTGGCTAAAAAGGCCAATTCGAGAATGGCAGTCCCTTCCACACTGAGGGCCCCTGTCCAGCCCCCAGATTTTGCTGATTCCGGGACTGCCTCTTTGCCTCAGCCTGCCGCACAAGTGTCTCTTCAAATTGGAGAATGCCATGCTGCGTCTTTAGCCTCCAGGCTGAATGATCAGATAAATAGATGGATGGGATATAAACACATGGAATATTTTCTTTCAATATTACATGAATTCTCAGAATGCTAACTCTGTTTAATATATCTCCCATCCCAATAGTTACAGCAGTATAGACATAAGAAATGTCAAAAACATAAAAATATTTGAATTACTAAGTCCATGTGCCTTACAGTAGGTGATATCAATAAAACTGTAAGAGCTTCGTCAACCATGATGTTAGATTTTATAGCAAAAAACGGAATATCAAATAAGCATTTAATCTTAAAGGAGGAATGGTTCTTGTGCCCCACAGAAAAGAATGCTACTGTGCTTCTGCTATGTTCTGGACTTAACTTCACTTTGTTTTAGTAACATGGATCATGGAAACTGGAAGCATTGATAGAATTATGGAACATGCAGTAAGGATTGAAAGTGACTTATGCAATCCAACCTTCTACCTAGACCAGGATTTATTGCTATAGCGGCTCAAACATATGATCACCCAAGAGAGTCCACCACTTCCTGGTATAACCTACTCCGTTGTTGAGCTCTCATTGCAAGAAACTGTTTTTTATGTTTTCTACGTTCAACAAATATCTATTTTCTTGTAGCTGAAACCAATTGTTTCTTGTTCCATCATTTAGAACTCCTAATAATTCTGTCCTGTCTTCTACGTGACAGCTTTTCAGATATTTAAGACAAATCTGATTTTCTCCAACTACAATATTCAATTCCTCCAAGCATTTCTTGTATTTTTTTCTTCTTCCAGGCCAGGCTCCTTATTATTTGGTTGTTCTCATTTGGATGTATGACATACAATCTTGGCAGTGGCCTAAAATGCAGTGTCCAGATCTGAAGGCGATATTCGGAATGTGGTCTGAGCAACACAGAACAGAGAAGAACAATTACTTTAGGCGTTTAAGTGAAATGAAGTTATGGAACACTTTTTTTAAATAATGGACAGAAGGAATAACTTTGAAGAAGAGTAGGAAGAGATGTCACCAAGACAATGGGTTGATTCCAGGGCAGAACTGTAATTTGGAAAAACATCTCAGACGTGATCGTTCTAGTTCCCATGAACATAAAGAGAAGGAGGGAGAAGCACATTCAGACATGTAAGATTCTGTTACTTTATAATAAAAGTAGTATTAGTTTGCATGTCTTAGTTTTCTAAGTTTGGCCTATTTTGGAGGGCTGACAATAACCATTTGTATGTGAAACCAAATTTTAGAGCATTTTCTGTGTGATTTAGTTTTCTGTATTATTTAAATTTTGTGGAAAGTATTATTTGATGTAAAGAATTATTTAATACATATCATTAGTAATATCTTTAATAAAAATATTAATCAAAATTATATATACACACAAACAAACACAACCTACATGCTAAAGCAAAGTAAAACCCAATCCTTACTTAAAAGAATCTAAGTACTTGCTGTAATGTGGCTCAGGCAGTTACATATTAACATCTTTACTAAAAAATAAGTTTCGTCAATGGAAGTAATACTATTATTTTTATAGGTCAAATT